TTAGCGACATTCAGACATATGCGGAAATCGTTTGCTCTAGTATTATGTTCTTGTTTAAGCACTTTTCTTTATAGACTCATCTAAGCATATGAGCCTACACGATCAAGACAGAACTCGACATTTTGCTGTATGAAAAGCTGGGATTTTCTTTGATACTTTCTTCATAGCCTGCTTCTCCAACTAGAACACTGGCTCCGTTCCTCAATCCAGTACTGTAGTTGCTTACAGGTTACTCTGTTAGCAGTCTTAACGTTCTTCTATATCCACAACGGATTCATCGAATCGTATGGAGAAAGTACTTGGTAAGACTTTAATTAAGGAAAGACCAACTGGGCGATAAATTTTATATCATAGTATTGCTTTCTTAATTTTCATAATTAGTGTGTTGAACATCTAGCACCAAAAGTACCAGCTAAAAGATTTTTGTAACTTACTTTGTTCAGCATCTTTGCCGTCGTTGCATTTCTTCTCTCCAGTGATTTAGTAGCAGCTTCGCCAAGCAGTTCCACTCCGGACTCGCCACGTTCATATAACTTGATATAGGCGTTCAAGCCGATTCTTCTATTCTGCTGTTCATTATTAAGCACTGCTTGGAACTGTTCAATAACTGAGTTAGCGCCTGAGTTTGTCTCTGACCATTGCCACTTGTTCTTACAAAACATGCACCTTTCCTAAATATCAAATTTCTCGTTACTTATGAGGTTTGACCAAGATTATAAACATTACTCAGCTAATTAATAGTGAGTTATATAGATGAACTGTATGTACCCTAACTTCCGTCAAAATTTCCTGACGCCTGCTTTTATGCCTCATTGCTCATTCCTAGTCAAATAAATTTCCCAAATCTCTTACTCAGTCTAAAAGTCATTTTATATGTCGTTCAAAGAGCCTCATGGCGATTCGAAGCAGTATCAAGGAGGACTTAAAAGAACAGTACGGAAAGGTCAAAGAATGGGCGCTGTTTCTAATTTTCTTTCGGAAATCGCTTTGAGGATCATTTTCCCACTGACTTTTTGAGTTTCGTATCCTCAAATTAACTGTTAAATCGTAATGACAGGCTGGTTTTCTAACAAAGGCCAACGAACCTCCACCTGGTGCAAGTCCATCAGTAAAGTTGGATTTAACACCTGTCGTTCGCGGTAAAATGAATTCTTTACTTTTCCTTCAAAAGCTCTACCAGTGAAACACTCAATCCTTCTGCAATTCGTCCATTCACTTCAATAGCAAAAGGCTACTTCCGCATATAAGAAACGGTGGTTGCTATTGGTGCATGCTATCACTCGGGCTGCTTCCAAACGCCTTCGTTTCTTGCAAGATTGACTACGGACGGATTTTGGCTACTCCGTTCCAGGAATACTGTGCTGCTAACGCTAATCTATCTCGGAGGAATAACAATTCAAGGTAAACTGAAGCTGTTCTCATAGTATGTTTAAAAAGCACAGAAAAGTCAAAAATGAAGCACTGGAAAAACATTGAAAATTTTGAACAAATGGTCGCCTTAGGGCATATATAACATGTGTGAAATGTGCCATTCCTCTCGAAAAAATCTGCACGTATGCCTTACCTGTTTCTATTCCTGGAAATCTGATGAAAATTTATGACGGAAATATTTCCCAGATTTTACCTTCCGCGCAAGCTTCGCTGACGATTAGTGAAAAGTTTTTTTAAGTAATTTCCAGTCTTTTGACAAAAAAGATATTCGAAAAGTTGTACGTTACCAAGATTACCTGCATTACTGCCTCGGGACCTTCAGTATTCTTAAACGCTAGAATACTCTCCAAATTTTCTTATCTTCACCATACGTTGTCATCGTTTTTACAGAGCCAAGAAGTCCTATGTGGGAAACATTTAGTTATTTAC